GAGAGAGAGAGAGAGAGAGAAATGAATAAAATAGAATTGTACACGCTAGAAGAAATATCGATTAAATAGTTAAGGAGATAATAGGGAATTACAAGTTCTTCTGGAGATTGAGAACGTAATGGAGTCCCCGTATCCGGTGAAAGCGTCCTCCGAGAGCGCGGTAATGTTATTGGCCTTTAAATCGAGGTGACGTAATCGATGTAGACGGCGTAACGCATCGCTCGGCACCGAGTGTAAATTATTATCGCCCAGTCGCAAATATTGCAGGTTCTCTGTAATGAAATTAAAATAAAATATGCATGAACGTTCGTTCCATCGATGACATGCACGTGCATCGAGCACGTGTTTATAAATTAAGCAGAATTAATTAGGATGATAATTAATCGCCGCAACGTATGGACGGATAAGTTTGTACCTAGCTAGTTTCTACAGTTTCATTTAAATTAATTTTGCCTATTATTTATCTTTGTTGGAAAATTCGCAATGGAAATTTTGCGAACTGACTTTTTCCTCTCTCGAAAATATCGGTTGCTACGATAAAGGAAAGAGGAAGAGGAGAGGGGATATTCAGGATAATCGCGAAAAAAAAAAGTAATTTAGAGTAAATAATTCCTATTAAAGAAGGATTATAGTGGAAACTCATAAATATGCAAATATTTGTATACGCGAACGGTATGCAACGCGTAAAAATGGTTTTTCTAACGATTTTTTGTTGTTTACAACAAAGTATGACTCGCTTGAATTGGTGTTGCCATCGATCGATTATCGGAAAAGTTTATTTTTCGAATACATCTTGTTCCTTTATCTTCGTCAATCTCGATAATCAACGTTTTTAAAATGGATACCAAGAGGGATATTTTATATAAAAAGGAAATGTAATTACCACTAATTAAATATATATATCACGCTATTTTCAGATTGTTTTCGTTCCAAGAGATTGCAAAATCTTATATAATCGTTTCTTCGCCGTTTCAACTCATCGTCGAACATGCAAATTTCAAATTTTTCCCCCGAATTCGCCTCTATTCTAGAATTGCAACGGGTCGAATCGGGTCGAAAACTTGTTTGTAATTCAAACAACGAGCAGAACTTCGTTGTACATTAGCAAACAGAATTTTATTCGAGTGGCAATTTTTCAAAAATTTTCGAATTTTTTTTTTTTTCTTTTTTAACCACCGTGTTTACAAAAAGCAACTACTCTTTCCACCAATTTTTATTTACGAGATTCGCGAATGTATTTTAAAATTTTCATCCATTCATTGACGAATTATCGAGCGTTAAACGAACCAATTACTATTCCAAATTTGCATTGCAAATTTTTATTCTGGTTATATCTCCGCTGGAGAAATTTTTAAAATTGAAAAATATCAAATATCCTTTGAAGGATACGAAGAAACGTTTTCTAATGAAAAAAGATGTAACATCTTGATGCAAAGCGTATTAATAAAATATATTTATAACTTTTAATAATTTATTACATACCACGAAATAATTCATCTCTCATACTCTTTCTACCATTCTTCCTTCCTTTCCCTCTCCCCCCTCCCCTCCTCTCTTTTTTTACTACTAAAATAGAAAAGATTCTACAAATCATTCATTTTCCTTCTCATCCCTTACGTCATCTCGCCACTACTGCGTACAAAGTGAAGGGTACTCTCGTCACTGTAATTTGATTTAATTTCATTTCGCCGTAATTATCCCCGGGTCGGACAAACCGATTAACCAGTTACAAAACCGTAAACTGTCTCTAATAATTCGGATGATTGTTACGCGTGTTTTGGCCGCATCGAGTTTCAATCGCGGAACGCGAAACGGGGGAGGGGGATTTCTCGTCGTACACGTTTAATGGAAAATCGGAGTTGGGATTACATACGAGGTTACACACGAGGCGTGGATGGCGTTGGCGAACGAAATAATAATAACGTTTCAAATTGCATACCGTTGGTCAAAGGAATCGGGTGGAGTCGTGTGATTACGTGTGCTTACCCTCGAGACCGATGAACGCGTTCGGGTCCACGTGGGTGATTTGATTCCCGTCCAGTTCCAAAGAGTTTAATTGCGTCATGTGGGAGAAGACGCGGGCGGGGACCTCGCGGAGCCGATTGTGCGCCAATCCTAACGAGTCCAGGCATTGCAGACCTGCAAAAAAGCACGAAAGAAAGGGAATAGTTTAGTAGGCTCGTCCATATTTTTCGACACACAATTGTATAATATAAGCGAGACGCTTTCTCTGCCTCCTCTATCAATTTCGATCGTAAGTCAATTTCTACGTTTCGTTTCACAGGATTTTTATCGTGTGTATGCAAGGTAAATAAGTTTTCGGATGATGGGATTATCGCCGATCTCGATCCATGTGTTGCTCGATCCATGAAATTCATCGATTTTTCCCCCCTTCTTTTCAGAGAATGAAATTAACCGTTACATATTTTCGAATTATATTTTTCTACGTTTAAATCGATCGAAATGATAAATAGGCCGAACAAACGCGTAATGACAGTGGTCCAGCAACGAGTATCGATGAATCTAATATTTATCTAAACAACTTATCTAACGAGAATCGTTATGTCTGAGAGCTGAACAAGCTGCAAGAGTAGCAAGGATATTTGGAACGGTAATAATGGGGCGGGAAGAAATCTCGGAATTGTGCGGAAATGAAAGTAGACGTACCTTCAAAATCACCTTCCTGAATGGAAGCGATCCTATTCTCTTGCATCTCCAACTTTTTCAACATATCCAGAGTGTGGAGCGCTTGCGTCGGCACTTTGGTCAACTCGTTCCCTCCCAGATTCAATCTCCTCAGCTTTCGACTATAATTTCCATTATAGATTTTTTTTTGTTTTATTTGCAATTTGTTCCAGCTAACGTTTAACAAGATTAACGGATAGATAGATAGTCTCACGATATCTTACTGTAGATATATATATATATACACGTATGAATTATACGCTTAATATATCAGTGCAATTTTGAAAATTAGAAGAAATGAAAAGATGCAGCGAACGGTAAGCGAGAAATTCGAGAAACTTACTCGTGCAATCCTGTGAAAGCGTCCTCTTCTATGATGGAGATCTCGTTCTCGTAGAGGGAAAGAATCTCGAGAGTGTCCAATCCATCGAAAGCATTTTTATGGATGGCCTTGATCTTGTTGCGGTTTAAATTCAAGATAAGCAGATGTTGAAGCTCCTTTAACGCGCTAGACGGGATCGAGGACAAAGCGTTTTGCGAGAGGTCTAATTGCGTCAGCCCACTTCCTGCGAAATAAATCGAACGAAACGAGTTAAATTAACTCCTCCGGATAGTCAAAATTCGGGATTGATCCTTCAACTCCTGATTCCTTCCTTTTCACACGATCGTAATAGCGTTGATAGCGAAACCTTTAACTTTCGATTATTTTCCATGTATCTGTATAACGATTGACGCATCGTCGATTTTACATTCGCATTTTTCCTCTCCAAAGGAAAAGAAATGATCCCGTGTCAACGAAACGCGTACGATCGCGCATTCGGGAATAAGAAATATTGTGAAAATTGTATTCTCACCGACGGAACTCAAGGACGATTCCTCGAGCTTCGCCAGACTGCTGTTGTGGATGGTCAAATGGCGGATGTCGAGGCCGAGGAACACGTAGGGCTGCAACTTGGGCAGACTGTTGTGCCTGAGCCTGAGATAGAAGATGACAGTGTTGGTCCTTCCTTTGAGAGCGCTCATCACATCGGAGATGTGAGATAGATCCGTGTACTCGCATATGATGTCCAATCCGGATTTCTTCAGGGTGCAGGAACAGGGCGAGATTTCGGTGTGAGATGGGCACAGTTGCGATGTTTGTGCAACGCCCATACCCGTTATTACACTCACTGTCCAAATCAGTGTCCATAATCCCATCTCCTTCATTTTTCCTCTCCTCTCTCTTTCTCTCTCTCTCTCTCTCTATCTCTATCCGCTCTTTTCTTTCTCTAAATTTTTCGTGCTTTATTTTTCTTCCTGAAGATACTTCTTATTTGCCCCCCCTCCTTCTGTTCTTTTTCTTTTTTTTTTCTTCTTTCTGTCGTTATAGATTTGATTTCTCGTTCGAAAGGAAGGATTTTTCGTTCGATATTCCTTGTTCCTTCTTCTTCTTCTTCTTCTTCTTCTTCTTCTTCTTCTCGGTTCCTTCTCGCTCTTTCTTTCCTGTTGCTTCGCCCTCTCCGTTCCTGTACCTGCAGCCTGCTACTTAGCCTCTGCTCTTCTCATATCCATTGTTCGCTCTTCCGCGGTGCACCGGTACACCGAGTCTGGAAAAATATCCGTTTATTTATTTTTTTTCACCTTGTTATTATTATCTTTATTACACATTAACACATTAGGTTTAATTAAATTTATGCGTCAGTGTAATAGATCCATCGATTCTATTCTTCGAGGAATTAGTTAGTCTTAAAGATATAGGAGAGAGATAATTTTTAATTTTTCAATTAAAAAGAAAAAAAAAAGAAAATGAATCGAATCCTCGATGGAATTGACTTTGATCTTCCTCGAAAACATTTCATGGATTGAATTTGGGAGAAGATAGAGAGAGAAAGAGAGAGATTCGCAATCAGTCTATACTTTAAATATTACTATTATTTTATTTTTCTTCCTGAAGATACTTCTTATTTGCCCCCCTCCTTCTGTTCTTTTTCTTTTCTTTTTTCTTTCTTTCTGTCGTTATAGATTTGATTTCTCGTTCGAAAGGAAGGATTTTTCGTTCGATATTCCTTGTTCCTTCTTCTTCTTCTTCTTCTTCTTCTTCTTCTTCTTCTCGGTTCCTTCTCGCTCTTTCTTTCCTGTTGCTTCGCCCTCTCCGTTCCTGTACCTGCAGCCTGCTACTTAGCCTCTGCTCTTCTCATATCCATTGTTCGCTCTTCCGCGGTGCACCGGTACACCGAGTCTGGAAAAATATCCGTTTATTTATTTTTTTTCACCTTGTTATTATTATCTTTATTACACATTAACACATTAGGTTTAATTAAATTTATGCGTCAGTGTAATAGATCCATCGATTCTATTCTTCGAGGAATTAGTTAGTCTTAAAGATATAGGAGAGAGATAATTTTTAATTTTTCAATTAAAAAGAAAAAAAAAAGAAAATGAATCGAATCCTCGATGGAATTGACTTTGATCTTCCTCGAAAACATTTCATGGATTGAATTTGGGAGAAGATAGAGAGAGAAAGAGAGAGATTCGCAATCAGTCTATACTTTAAATATTACTATTATTATATTCGAATTCGAATTATCATTTTTGTCGAGTGATTATTCGAGTAGATTTTATATAGTACGATACGATGGATCGATCGTTTACTTTAGATAGCAAATACCGGGTGAAATATCATTCTCGGTTTTCCAATTAAACACGATCGTGAAACGCGGTACTCTTTACAATTACCGAGTGGCCGTAATTAACTCAGCAGGAAATTTCATAATTAGCTATGATCTCTCTGTTCAGAGGTATCACAAGCATCTGTAGAAAACAAGTTGATTTACGAATCACGAAAGCAACAACATTATTTCACGCTTTGATTATCTCACTTCACCACTGCAAAAATATTTATATTTTTATCAACCTTGTAAATTTGTTATTCATGTATTCGAAGAAAAATTGAGAAATATTTGTAATGTAGATCTTCGAAAACAATTAATGCAGACATTGCAAATATTGCTTCGTGCTTTGCAATAAAAAAAACGAAAAAAAAAAAATTACAATAACTTTTTAATAAGTAATTTTAATTATCACAACTTTATCATATTCGAAAAGAATTTATTCCACTTGCAAAGAGTTATTTTTTTCTCAAAGATAAAACTCGGCCAGTTTTGCCGAGTATGGATTAACACCGAGTCGTTAAGATGGTGAGAATAGGCTGAAATTGTTGATTCACGTTTCACGTATAGTTCCGTGTGAAATTTATTTTACACGGTGTCACGCTCGTTCTCATCTTGAATAATAATAATTTATCTTCGTCGAGACGACGTTTCGATAAACAAGCATTGTTCCAATTGATCAGTGAACGGTGTGTGAATTGCGTGCAATCGCGGAAAAATGTGCATCGACTGTGAAAACGACTGATATTGATCGAAACGATTGATATTGATGTCGATGTAATGTTTCAAACGAACGATGAACAAGTTTCGATGAACAATAAATTGACACGAAAGAAATTTCAAACGTGTCTTTCGTTATTTATTAAACGTAATTTCTTTCGTTATCATTTTACTTCTATTTCATTCGTACAATACATTTTTTTTTCCTTTTTCCCTTTTTTTAAATATCATTTTTTTTTTTTTTTTATTAACAACGATTATCGTTGCCGTAAAATATTAATTCCAATTTTTCATTTTCATTCCTAGAATTATCTTCACCTCGACATTTATACGACGTTTCGCGCCACGTTTTTTCAATACAAATTTCTACCAACTTTCGGTCCAACAGCTTTGGAGTTTTTTTTACACGCGCTGAAGTACGCTCGAGAGAAGTTTCTATAAGCCGCGCGTAAAACGATATTTTTGATAAAAAAAAAGAAAAAAAAAAAAGAAAAAAAGGAAAATATCATCGAATGTGTTTTTTTTTTTTATCTTTACACGAAAATGTGTATTTACTTTTTATAATTTGATTCGTGCGTTCGCTCGGGGAGCTCGAAGGAAAAGTTTCCAAAAATATATGTCCCTGGACGTGTGCTCTCGACACCCAAGTGTGCTATCGTTTTCATCCCCTCCTGTTTTTACTGCCACCTTGTTATTTTTTTTTTTTTTTTTTTTTTCCCTCCCCTCTTTCCACGTATAACTTCGACAGTGCTTAGGGCGACGTTACAGTAAATCGAAGGAAAGTTTCTTCGTCGAGGTATAAAAAGCACGAAAGTACGAGCGAAAAGAATTAATAGTACGAGAAAAATATTCTCCACAAGTGACAAAGTTTTCCATCGTAACGTTCATCATTCATTCTTTTGAGATTCTTTCGTTTTACGGATATTACAGATTTTTTTAACGCCGATTCATTTTTACGCATCCTATGCAACTATGCATCGAATTAAGAATTCGTTTGCGGGAAAAGAGTAATTTTTTTTTTTTTTTTTTTTAATAGAATAGATTCTTTTAATTTTCTGCGGTGTAAAGAGTGTTGTTTGTTAACGTTTAGCGTAAACGCAACAAGGTTTCTCGATGGAATAGAGAATTCGCTAAAAATGAAAACTTTTTTTTCTAGCAAAAAGTTGTTGCTAATTGTTTAATAAATGAGGAATATTTTTAACAAACGGAAATTCCTTTGTGAAAACAGAGAGAATTTGTTTAACAAAGAAGCCGTTGCTTCGAAACGAGATATATTTTCTTTTTTTTTTTTTTAAAAACAAAACAAGAAACTTTCCCCGCGGAAAACACAAAACTCTATAATTATAATAAAGAGAATCTATCCAACGAATAAATTTTTAATAAGATAAAAAGAAAAATATCATTTCTTAGTTTTTCGTAAAATTATTCGTGGAACGAGATAAAATAAAGTAAAATAATTTTTTGTTAAAAAAATAAAAAGAAGCACGTACCGATCCATGTAGATCACCTGGCGGTTTCCTCTGTCACTCGCGAGATACTCGTTACGAAACTGCGAGGCGGAACAACGACGGGGACTCGCGTGATCACTGGTCATCGCTTATTGATGTCACTGCGTATCAAGAAACTTAGCCGTTCGCTCGATTAATCAACGACACTGAGATTATCAGTGGGGTACACAGGAGGGAGCATAACGACACACTTTTCTTGCATCCACCGTGCGACTTACGTGTCAACGATACGCGATCACTCTCCGAAATACACCTTTTTTCTTTTCACTCGGATATTCTCGACCAGACGCATATCGCTTTTCCCTCTTTAATTCTAGCCGCACGAATTTTCACAGGAAGCGAGCGAATTATTTTATTACAATTATCTCTCTTTTTTCTCGACGACTGTAATGATAATTGCTATTCGATTCGAGTTAAACCAGAAGTCGCCAATTAGTTATAGAACCGTACAGTTTCTCCATCCGATATATTCCACTCACGTACACCTTAATCGAGCGGTGCACCGATCGCATCGCCAATTTGCGATAGAAGAGCCAGCACCCAGGTCAAAGCAGTTCGAACGTGGAAAGAAGATCCGATCGATTAAATCCTTCGATCCTTCGATCCAATTATCCCCTCAAAGGGAAAATTCGCAAGCGTGTAGACACCTTGAAGGGACATCCTTCGATGTATAACACCTCGATTTCTCCAATTATTTCTCCTTCACGTCCATCATCTCCTTTTCTTCGACGTCCAATATTTTCTTTTTTTTTTTTTCCCCCAAGTTTTATCCAAGTTTTTCTAATCCCTTCGATTTATTCTCTGCGAACTCGGTTTGATACCCGATTTTTCGACGAAACGAAACGAGGCGTCACGCGTTGGCGAACGCGAGGCGAGGCACGAAAACGAGTGGACGTGCTCGGCACCAGGAGAGCTGACCTGGGTGTCCGTTGGCATCATCATTGGCCGGTTAATGGGCAGCTTCCGTCCAGGGGATCATGGGATACGTGTGTCATAACACCGCGCGTCATAACAGCGATACACTTGGGCGTGGATGGCCAGTCACGCGGTTTATTCGTGGACTTGCATCGATTTGCACCGATAAAGGAACGCGTTTCTCTCCCGTTTCGTCTCCCATTTGCTTCGCCAATTGCTTCCTTCCATCCGCCCGTTCCGTTAGGATTCGTGCGTTCAAGTTAAAGCGTGCACGTGGTGTCGAGTGGATCCGAATAGGAAATCTCCTATTTTTAGAAACCGTGTTTCTGCTTCTTTTTTCCCCCCTCCCCTCAATTTTCTTTCGTTCCACGAAGTTGGCATACGAGTTGGTATTTAAAAGTTTAATCAATTCGTAAGCGAGGAGAATTAAACAATTGGATTCAGTCGAGAAATTCCTTCTTCTTCCATCGCGAATTATCAAGATTATTTAATATTTCCTATTCCAAGTTTGTGAAATTAGA